GACAGCTGAAGCTTCTGGATCTTCAGAGGAACTGACTTATCCTGGATTCCAGTATGAAATCTGTCTTCCTGGAACTCTGGAGCTTTCTCCAAAGATGTCGAGTAAGTTTTCATCATGTACTTTGGGAAACCATTTACTTCTTGTTTGTACCAGAACAATCTTGGTATTGTGCTACTGGTCTTAAAAGTACATTCCAGTGTGACTGTTTCTCCTTCAGCAGCAGTGCCATCTCCTATTGGCTGAGTCACTTCTTCTTGTCCTTTACACTCTGGAGAAGAATACAACATGCAGAGGAAGACATGAATCAATAAAGATTGATTAAAGGACAACAATCAGCAGTTGTAAAGCGTTTTTATTGATCTTTCTATCTTACCAAAGAAAAGAGCAGCAAGAATAATCCACAGCCAATGTTCCATGTGTGTAACAAGGTTTAAGTCAGCAGCAGAAACTGATGTTCAACCTTCAGTCTGAGATTGTTCTCTTTACTGAAGCACTTCTTACTGACACAATGGTTAAACACAGTGCAGAAGTCATGTGTCACCTCTTTGATAATGTGGCCCTCTAGTGGAGGTACAAAGCTGAGTTCAGTGGTGGAGAAAAGCTTGTCAGTGTGTCAGCTTGTGTTTTTGTATAGAGTTTTGCTGTTTCCTGTCACTGTGGGCTGCAGAGCACAGTAGTACTGGTTGCCATGGCAGCACAGCTGATTCAGGACGATTTAATGTTGACCAGTAGAGTCGGTCAGTCTCCTTCAGCTGTCAAACTGATCAGTGTGGCAGCAGTTACATCCGCTGGCTGCAGAAGAAAGAAACAGAAACATTCAGGGTGATTCTTGCTTTTAATAGGAATAATGATACAATAGATTCAGGTTACAGTTATCCTCAGATCGATGACTTCACAGCTGTGAATAAACAGAACGACTGTAGACATTAGGTCATATAGAAATTAACCAGGCGTATCATTAATTATTTAACAGCAGTGCTTATAATGAGGTTTCTCACGCTGTGATCTAGCATCACGACGGAGAGTTCAGTCACTGAACTCAAATTTCAAATTAAAATTCATGTATTTAATCTGATTTCTTATTTTTTTTAGCAGAGATCAGCAAATGGAGACAAAAAAGTCCAGCTGTGTTGCAGTTTCTGCTGTGCAAAGACTTTTTGATAGGAGCTCTGTATATGGTGAATTTCCAGTTATTAATGCATCACACTGAAAATAACAGCCACTGAACAAAAGTGCTTTCTGGTAGAGACATGAAATTAATGTTATAAAATTACTTNCAAACCGAAAATCCCGCATCAAAAAGTTTCGATACAAATAGGTGTACTCTTACACTCCTAGTTAGAAAATAAACTAAGTTCGGGGTATATGTGTAGCTCTTCAACATGCTTCACTTTTGGTTGTGTGGGGTGAACAGAGAGGAGGCCAAACTTAAGTCAGAGGTGGGTCAGGCCACATTGTATAACCCCTGAGCTCCACCTCTGGCCTGAGGTCTTAGACCAGGCTTTTGAAAAAAACGAAGAAAACCCAACTAGACACTGGAGGAATGTAGTGAGTACATATCATAAAACCATGTCATCCAGAAGCGAGACCACCTGAAACAAGTGACCATTGAAGCGATATTTAAACAGGTGTAGTATGTGCTCACCTTCTGGTCGTGGTCAGTGCAAACATACAACATGATGTGCTGTAATGTTCACAACAGGCTGTTTTTGTCACACAGACCAGAGGGGTGTGCCATAAAGTGAGGTGAATGGGTTTGCAGGTATGTTGAATCTAAAGTTTTAAAAAAAAGTTGTTTTGGCCAAAAAAGAGGCTCTTTTTGTAATCCAGCTTCATCACCATGGCAACTGATATTGCACAGCTAGCCTGCTCCAGAGAAGGTTCTGATTGGCTGTAACTAGATGGACCCTGTCACAAGTTCGCTTCAACGTCACATCTGCAAACCTGTTGAGCAGGACGCTAGTAATGCTACAGACCAACTGTATGCTTTGTGTTGCCATGGTAACCTTTTATGTGTTCAGCTGGTGATGCAGAAAATGCAGAAATAGGTGTTAATTCAGACAGATTTCAAGAACTGTGACTGCACTGACTCAGACTTTTTTTTTTTAGTTTGTCTTATTTGTTAACCAAGATCTGTAAAACTTTTTTTGGCTGAATTTTGAGAATTTCATTACGTTTCAGATCTGCAAATTTGAAAAACACTGAAAAAAACATTTCAACCATTTTAAGGGTTCACTGTCTTCAGAAATATAACTTCCACAGTCATGATATTTGGTGAGGACACAGACAAATTTGTTTCCAGTAGATTTAAACGAATAAAGGGGTCCACCAAGTTTTTTAATAACTGACCCTTGAAATGGGAAAAAAGTGCAAAAACCGTAAACGATAATGGCATTAGGGCCCCAGAGAGTTCTTGTAAGTATATGTATAGAAGGATAAATCCATGTTTTCTTCAGAAATTCAGTCATTGGTCAACTTTTCACTGCCTTTTGAGGCCTCTTACATTTATAAAATTATATGCTTGCAGTATGGCAAGCTGAGGTAAATAAAGCAAATAACTGAAGATCCTCTTAAAGCTGTAAACTTTTAGACCCAAGGTAAACACTGAGTGCCCGCCCTCCTTCTTTATTACCAAAACATTCATTTTACTTGTGTTATTGTGCATAATTATTGTGCATTATGTTAAATATTAAACGAGATACTGGAAGGATGTGGAAAAAAACTCCCTCTTTTGGTGTTGATGTGAAGTGCATTTCTAATGCAGGTAACACCTCGTCCTGTGCATGTGTGAGCTCTCTGTCTATGTGAAAGCAAAAAGGCCCAAAATGCTTCTGCATGACATTTTATGATGATATTGTTATAAGAACAAATCTGATTATGCAGTGGAATCGGTTCCACAAATCTAATGAAGTATTCCTCCACAGATCTACTGGATTGACATGTTTTAATGCCAGGTTAAATGTTTTCAGGTACATTTTTTTTTCTCTGTACTCTGTGTTCATGCATGTCTGAACTGATACTGTAGCATACACGTGGCTAAATAAAGACATGATGGCATTTGTGTTGCCGCTGCGCTTCCTTGATGTTTCTTGTGTGACATGGCAGAAACTTTGCCTGAATCAGGCGACGTTTGAGCCAATCAGCTCAGGCAGACACGCAGCTGAGAATTTTGTGAACTTTGACTTCTCTTGATAAAACGTCTTCTCTCCAAGTGGGTGAAGGTTTATGGACCTGTTCCAATCTGAAAAACCTGACCTTGAATCAGAGCTAAGATATAATCTACCTATTTCATTTCAGCAGAGAGGTTCCGTCCAGCAGGAGCCCCAATATTTACATTTCACAAAAAGATCAATCAATACAGCTAATCTGAGCTAACCTCCAGCCCTCCAGACAGCAGAGCAAAAAAAACAAAAACAAACAAAAAGAACTTGTAGGTCAATCTGCACATCATTTCGTCAGACAATATGCAAGACATGTCGCGAAAATCAATACATTAATTCCTCTACTGTCAAAGATAGATTCAGACAATGGTGCTAATTTTTTTACTTTAAGACGTATCAACTGCAAAGAGAGACAGAACAGCCACAAAGACTGCAAAAAGATTAGAGAGATAAAAATAAAAAAAAATTGATGACAAAGACACACAATGTGACTACAAAAAGATCCAAAAGGGCTACAAAGAGAGACAAAGAGATACTATATGGTTACCAAAAGGTGCGAAATGCTGACAAAGATGTACAAAATGACAACAAAAAGACAAACTGTATCAAATAACTGCAGACACCAAATGACTGCAAAAAGCTGTGAGATAATGACAAAGACACAAGATGACTACAAGGCAACAAATACCATCAGAAAGATTCAAAAATGATGACAAAGAGTCACAAAATAACTATGAAGAGGCACAAAAAAACAACCTGTAAAGATAGGAAGACAAAAAATAGCTGCAAACAGACACAAAATGACGACAAAGAGACACTGAATGACTACAAACAGAGACAAAGAGCTGCCGGGGGTTTACAAAAAGATGCAAGATGACCACAAAGAGACACGAAAAGATGCAAGATGACCACAAAGAGACACAAAAAGATGCAAAAAGATGACAAGAGAAACAAAATAACCACAAATAGACACTAAACGGCTGGAACAGTGTGCAACATGGCAACAGACACAAACTGCCCTTTGTCGTCATTTTGCCTGTCTTTCAGGTCAAAGCCCTTCTGCATGCCCTATGCCAGGGCTTGTCCTCAGGAGGCCCCAAGAAACTGCAAGAGGTCACCAAATGACTACAGGAGTGAGAAAGAACAAACCAATTCTGCAATTCTACAATTTAATTTGGCAGACGCTTTTATCCAAACGACACACACCTGAGAGCAAATACAACACAAGCAAGGATCTAGTCAGGAGAAAACAATCTAGATAAGTGCCACAGAACAATTCCAAGTGTGATAGGGCGTTGATGCCCGCAGCAGGCTGTGTGGGAGGTAATAGGATTTTTTTGTTTTGTTTTGTTTTGTATTGTTTTGTTTTCGGGCTGTCAAGTGCAAAGGCTTATTCAGCACTGCGGTCACAACCTGTGGACGTCATAAGGAGACAATGCTGTCAAAGGTTGGGAAACTGTGAACTCTGTAGTGTGTAACTTTAAAGCAGTGATGGTTCAAGACTTGTATAATACATGCATGTCATCACAGGTTGAGGAAAGTAAGACTCAACTACAAAAAATAAAGGCTGAGGAAACCTCATCTATAAATCAGTGCAAATTGATTATTATCTTGTCAGATTGTCAGTGTATTTGGGGCGTGTCAGTCACTTATCAATAGTAGGCACATTTGCAAATTGATAAGTTGGGTGTCTGAGTGGGAGTGTGTTGTCAATATGTCATGAGAGAGAGAGAGGAGAGGGAGAGGGAGAGAGAGAGGGAGGCTGGCAAGTCACATGGCTCATCTGTTTATTTTAGATCCTCCTCTTTCTCTCATTTAAAACCCACCAGGAGTCTGTCAATCTGTCAGAAAGTCCTCACAGACTCATTTTGTTTCACATTTAAAGCCTCTTAGCCTCTGTCATCCAGCTCTTTGCTCCACCATGACGCACGCTGTGGCTCTTCTCCTCATCTTAACATCATCCCTCCTGAGCTGCACCGCAGCAGCAGCCGCAGCTCCTATCTTCTGCACTTGGACTAAAGTTTCTTCAGACAAACAAGAAGTGCACTACAGTTTCCTGCAGCAGGCCGCTACATCTCTGCGGCTGTACCACAGCGTCTGGTCCGGTCGGCGCGCTCTGCGCAGCTGCGCCTGGAGCGACGACGTAGCGGTGGTCCACAACTACTTGTCTCTGTGCCGGGAGCGCACGCAGGAGTTTTCAGACCATCCAAAGGACAATTTAGATTTAGAGTCCATGTTCATGGCGGAGGAGGAGCGGTGCGTCTCTGTGGTCTCTCCGGGCGTCGCCGGACTCGGTGAGCAGGCAGGGAAGAGGACGGTGAGGAGCGTCGGGGGTCTGGATCGAGGTGAGGGGTCAGAGGTCAGGGTCAATCGGCGTGTGAAGCGCGGCTTCATCGTACCTGGAACTCTGTGGTGTGGATCTGGAAACAAGGCGCCTTCATATTCAGATCTGGGTAAGTTGGCTTTTCCCATTCACAGGGTCTCTAGAAAAAATAGAGTGGTGACCATATTTAAATGAAAAAAATTTAACAAAATATAGAATAAAATACTTTTTAAAAATAAGTAAATAAAAACGAATATCTATACAAAAGCAAAATGATGGACAACATTGATTTTAAAGCAAATAATGTACAAGTTCTACAGTTTCTACAATTTCAGTAGATACAACACAAGTCATCTAGTCAGGAGAAAACAACCTGAATAAATGCCTGAACAAATATCCAATTGGTAATGCAGAAAAATCACAAACATCAAATTAAATTGAAAAACATATTTATTATTCAGATTTATTTGTTTGTTTTATTTATTGCATTATGAGGAACATTCTTTTGTTCCAGGGTCTCACTGTGCTGCTTTACTTTATCTTAAGCCTGACAAGAAAAGTCTGTTTTACTGAGAAGTTTGAAAGCTGCATATTTTTGTTGGCTTGCAGTCTTCTTCCCTGAATCTGTAGAGCAGTGTAACACTGTGAAGTCCATCAACTCTATATAAATGAGGAACATAGCCTCTAGGTCTGAAAAGAGAAGCCAGTGCAGCTGTGTCCTGAACTCTGCATTCTTTCGAACAACCAGCAGGAGGCGACTCCTCTAGTTGCTAAAACAAGTCTGATTGTATGGAAGTCTGTGAGAGGGGGCCCTACTTTGCTTTGATTTGTCACCTCAGTAATAATTTATAAGAGTTTGTGATGTCAAGTTGTCAAACCAATTGGCAACAAGGAGTGGCATAAAGATGATAAAGACACAAAAAATGACTACAATGAGCCACCAAACAGCTAAAAAAATACAGTCGTGACTTAATAATCCAACACTAAATGTAAAACCTTAATTTATGTTGGATAGCAAGGCTGTCAGATTGTCAAGATGGAGGTCGAGATACAAGGAGGGCTTGATGTTTGAAGGGTAATTTGTTGTTAACATTTATTGTTTTTAGTTGTTATAATAACTAGCGTATTGTTAGAACACTACGCATAGCTGGATTTCACGACTAATTGACTGGTGCACTTGTGCACAGGCCTGTTGGTTGACATGAAAGGTAAGTAGATCTGTCGGATTGTTAAGTCAGATAATACACCATTATCCTTATTTGTGACATAAAATGTCATGTCAGAGTCGGAATCCAAGGCTGTTGTTATGTTTAGGCTATTTTTTATAGGTTCCGTTTGTTTTTCCTAAAAACCTGTCAGATAGCAAGGTTTTCGGATTGTAGAGGGTCCGAATGTCAAGTCACGACTGTAATGCAAAATGATTACAAACACAAAATGACTCCAGAGAGGAACAACTAGATACCAAGTGCTTGCAAAATGTAGCAAAAATGATAATAGTCAGAAAATGACTACAGAGAGAGATAAAGAGATACCAAGTTGCTACAACAAGGGATGACAAAGAGACACAAAAGGAACACAGAGTGAGCTAAAGAGACATCATAGGCCTGCAAAAAGATACAAAATGATGACCAAGAGGCAAAAAGGCTACAAAGAGAAACAAAAGGACAACACAGACAAAAAGACACTAAATGGCAACAAAAAAAAGAAAAGTAATGACAAAGAGACACCAAGTGGCCACAAACGTGTCAAACAAAATGACTGCAAAGAGAAACAAGATCTCTACAAAGGACACCAAATGATTATAAAAAGGTGCAAAATGATGCCAGAGAGACACAAAATGGCCACAAAGAGACACATAGTGACCACAAAGAGATACAACAGGACTACCACGACAGGTAAAGAGACAACAAATGACTTCCAAAAGATGCAAAATGACGAAAAAGAGACATAAAATGACTCTAAAAAGAAACAAAAGGACAACAAAGAGAAACAATCAGACTCCAAGTGGCTACAAAAAAGTGCAAAATGACCACAAAGAGACACAAAATGACTTCCAAGAAAGACAAACAGACATCAAATGGCTGCAAACAGATGACAGATAATGACAACAAAGAGACATAAATGGCCTTCAGTAAGAATCAGAGAGACATGATTTTATACTCTCTGTTGCGAGTTTCAAGTCTCCTTAAATACAGCATGATGTTCATTTTGTAAGTTGTGGTTCTACATAAAGGAAAATCAACCAAAAAGCATTGGATGCTTTAGGAAAGGGGTTACCTTGTGACTGACATGTTGCTACCATTGTGTCCTCCAGTTCTCAGTCAGATTCACCTCTCACTTATCATAGCCGGTTTCAAAAGGTGCTAACGGCCACGTCTGAACTTGAAGCTTGAAGCCAATGGCAGGAATGCATGTCAGATGTTTTTTAAAAAAAAATAAAACAGATCCATTAGAACAAGTTATATCACACTTAGCATCAAAACTGTGTCTTGGATCCTAAACCTGTCAAATAATCAAAATGGAAATAAACTCATGGAAATAATCTTGTAATTCATCCTTTATCTTTGTCACTGTATCTCTTACAGGAGTTTTTTCAGACACAGACAGCTGCTGCCGGGAACACGACCAGTGCAAACACACCATCCTGTCATTCCACTCACAGTTTGGCGTCTTCAACACCAACATCTTCACCATGTCTCACTGCGACTGTGACAACAAGTAACTGTTTTCTCATCAAAGATCCCCATACTCCACATCAGCTCATCTGTTGTTTTGTCTTGTTACAAAGATGAAACCGAATCTCTTTTATGTTCCAGGTTCCGCAGCTGTCTGAAGGAGGCGAATGACAGCATAGCAAATGTGGTGGGATACACGTTCTTTAACCTGCTCAAGATGCACTGCTTTGAGTTCTCCCACCGACTCCAGTGCATAGAAAGAAACTGGTTTGGAATGTAAGTAAAGTTCAGATTGACTTAATAAGACTTTGATTTGATCAGTCTTTCGAATTTATGAATTCTCTAGTAATTTTGGTGCCTAAGCTTAACTGAGTGGCTTTGTTTGAGGGTCAAACTAGACACTAGGCAGTCGTTTCGCAAATGTGCTACATGGTGANCATTAAAACTAGCTGATGTCGGGTTGGGTGATGTAGCTGAAAAATGTGTCAAGATATAATGTGTGTATTATCTGTGTTGAATAAGAAACCTTCATCTGAGCAACGTACATTCAAAGGGCTAGATATTGATGAGCATATTATTTATGCATTCAAACAGTCTGCAGCTTTTTGCAGTTTTCCATTCTGCTTTAGCTGCTGCAGCTCTGTTGCTTTCAGTCTGTATCATGTTTAAATGTGGTATTTCTCTAATATTACATTTTGGTCTTTGCTTTTAAGAGATGCCACTGTGATGCTCGTAGACATCCATGTTTGTGATTGATCATCAGTTTCCAACTCTGCCCCTTTTGTGTGAAGCTACATTCACATTTCATGAGTTGACTTGATAACCAGCTTCATAAGACCGATGACCCCGATTGCGTTATTATGTTAAGTGAAGCCAGATAACGAAAAGATACCCTGGGTAGGTTGAACCTGCGTTGTAGTGCAGGTCTCAATTCTGTGCAAGGGGAAAAAATTAACATTAATCACTGGCAAATGTGTTTTTGCATCAGTGCATCAGAAAGAAATGACACACAGACAGAAAAAAAAAAAACCTGTAATGTTAGTTTAATCAACTTCCCCGCTCATGCATGGCTGTTAATATAAATAGACAATATGAAATCACAGAATCTCAGCATGAGATTATGCATGTTGTAAGGTTGCGTTACCATGACAGCAACGGTGCAGAAATGACTTTGTACACGATAAAGAAATATTTTAAAATGTACTTTACATTTTAGACCTATTGACACAAAGGAATCATCTCAACCCAAGTTCAGCTGTGGTTTTATGTGCAGACTGATACATTAATATGGAAGGTGTGTTTTGATCACACATGCAGAGGAAGAGAATATAAAAGCATTGTTTTTAACTATAAACCACCATTAACACATTTTATTTAGGATAACTGCTGATGAGTCAAACCAATAGTACGATAGCCAATAGTAAAATACAAAAACAGTAAAATCAAACTGTCCTAACAGGTTTGAGGGCTCGTGAGGGTAGCAGCTTTATTCAGACACATTTGCTCGGCATCAAACTTATCTGTGTGATGTGCAGAAAAGTGCCCAGTACTGTGTACTTCTAGATTCTCTCTGATTTTGTGCACATTGTGAAATCATACGTCCAGAAAAATACTGACTAATTTAGAGAGACTTGTATCATTCCTCCTGCTGTTTAATAGCTGTTAGAGTACAATAATTAAATGGGAAAAATGTCGTTCTTTTTTACCTAACGCCCAACTCTTAAGCAGAGTTTCCAGGGATGTCCAGTCCCAAATAAAAAGTGGCTGCTGCATGTGTTCCTGTCATCACATTAGTCATCTTTTTCTTGTGTCCTTTTGTCCTTCCAGAACTCCCACAGTATTATGTCTGCCAGAAGGAGGAGTTTAACGCTCACCGAAAGCTCTGTCACCAGGAGGGGAACTGTGGTTTGGAAAAAGAGGACCCAGATTTTCCACAGATTAAAGAGGAACAGGAGGAACTTTGCACCAGTCTGGTCCAAGAGGACAAAGAACCTCCACAGATTAAAGAGGAAACGGTAGAATTTTGCACAAGTCTGGATGGAGAGAAGTTTGTAATGAAGCAGGAGACTGACATCTTTGTGGTGACCCCTCCTTATGAGGAAAGTGAGCACACTGAGCGAGAACCAAACAGCGACCAGCTTCTCTCTCACGAGTCTCCTGTAGTTGAGAGCTCAGTTCCAGAAGTAAGCATGCAAGTAGACTCAGGATCAACTAGAAAAGCAGAGCTGAAGCCAGAGAAGAGATATGAGGGAAACAGCAGTTGCAGTAAAAATGCAGACAATTCTATTTTAAATAATGACTGTGAAAATTACACAGGGAAAAAGCCTCTAACATGTGACATCTGTGGAAAAGCCATGAAAAATAAATCCAAACTAACAAAACATTACAGAATCCACACTGGTGAGAAGCCATTTGCTTGTGAAAGGTGTGGGAAAAGTTTCAGAGCTAGCAAAACCCTAAAAGTCCACACAAGAATTCACACAGGTGAGAAGCCGTACCTTTGTAACACCTGTGGGAAAAGGTTTAGTGATTCTTCAACACTTAGAAGGCATGTGGCAATCCATACAGGTGAGAAACCATTTTCTTGCAGTTCATGTGGTAAAAGTTTCATTCACAGTGGTGCTTTGAAAGTCCACATGAGAATACACACGAATGAGAGGCCGTACCTTTGTACCACCTGCGGTCAAACATTTATTTGGTTTTCAGGGCTCAAAAGTCATAAGTCAGTCCACACAGCCCAAGGCACAGGCCCAAAACCTCTGCGGCGAAAACAACCTGGGAAACAAACTTGAAACATGTATGAATTGGCACAGGTTAAAAGTAGATCTTTGAGTGCTAAAGCACCATTCGTTTGCGACTCAAAGAGCAGAAATGCTGACAGAGTCAGTAATTGATGTATTTGACAACGTGTGTACAATAAAGTAAAGATGAGGAAATACATGAATCCTTGACAGTTACATGAGATGGAGTCTGGACTCCGTCTGGTGGAACACGGTGAAGAACCAAACTGAACATCTGGATGGATGTGATGTGAAGCAGCACTGCTGATGACACACTGGTTCAGATGAAAACTGGGGGTGGAGGAGGAGGAGGAGGAGGAGGAGGAGGAGGAGGAGGGCTGCAGCCATCTGGTACTGAAATGGCAGATGACAGCACTCAGCCAGATGAATACTGCATTTGTTAACTTCTTCATTTAGCATTAAATCTAATGAGGACAGGGTGCTTATGCTTTTTCAGCTTTTGGAACAATATAGTTTTGTTATAAAATACAGGAATATTTTTCTTATTACTTGAAAGCTTTATCTTATTTTTTTTAATTTTTACATTAAATTGTTGATGTTGAAGAACTGCATTGGTTTATTTTTTTTCCTTGGTATTGAAATTAGTGTCACAAACTGGTTTTAGCTGTTTTACTGCCAATTACCAAGTTTTATGGTGTCGTGACATCCCTCGTCAGCATAGGAGTGATTTGAGATATTGTAAAGCTCTTTGGAACACTGTCACATTCTGCTGGAAGAACAAGGATTACCAGATATGAACAAACCTTTGAACCCACACAGGTCAGGTGCTGCTGTCACTGAAGCAACAGTCGACAAGCAGTTACAGAGAGGTTCTGACATTCATGGACATTTTTCACTGATTCTACTATTTGCTGAGAGTGCTGAGCTGCAATTATCATTGGAAATGGTCTCAGAGTTTGGGAACCCACTGTTTGTCCTTTTTTTGTAAAATCATCTCGATTGAACTGTCACGTAGCTTTGGAGATCGAATATCAGTGGAGAAGCAGAAAACCATCTTTACATCAGTCTCAGTTGTGAGTTGAACATTGTCAGAAGTTGTGTTGTGATGCTTATTAAATGATGCAGCAAACATTCATCATGGCTTTGACTTTTTTTTTTAAAAGTTGCTTCATTCTGACCACTGCAAAGAATCCAGATTATATCTGAGCAAACCATTAAACTATAACAGAGTGTGTCTCCCTCCAGTGGATGTTGTGCAGTTTTCTGTTGTCTTTGCTCCAAAGGTTTTTGTACAGAGTTCTGTTGTTTCCTGTCATTGTGGGCTGCAGAGCACAGTAGTACACAGCAGAGTCTGTCACTGCAGAAGAGGAGATCTTCAGATGGAGCTCCCAGCTAACTTAGGGCGAAGGCAGGGTACACCCTGCACAGGTTGCCAGTCTATCGCAGGGCTACACTTGGAGACAGACAACCAAGCACACTCACATTCACACCTACGGACAATTTAGAATCACCAATTAACCACAACATGTTTTTGGACCTTGTGGGAGGAAGCCGGAGAACCCGTAGAGAACCCATGCTGCACAGGGAGAACATGCAAACTCCATGCAGAAAGTGTCCCAGCATGCTGATCTTTTGGGTTTCTGTTCTGTCGCTCTCTCTGATACTTTCTTGATATTTTCTACCATCCCCTTCTTTATTGTACCAAGCACACCAACGACCACAGGGATCACGTCAGTGTTCATCTGCCGCATTCACTGTATTTCTAGTTGCAGGTCTTTGTACTTGCACTCCTTTTCTATTTCTTTTAGTGTGATGTTTCTGTCTGATGAAATAGCCATATCAGTCAGTTTGCAGGTAGAATTCATTGAATCTTTAATGATGATGTCTGGTCTGTTTGCTGCTATAGTTCTATAGTTCTGTTGTCTTAATGTGCACCACAGTCTCCAGCTCATGCTCGTGCCACTTGTCTGTAACTTTGATGTCATGATCCTTGCAGATGTTTGGAGATACAGCTGCAGCTTTACTGTGCCTGGAGATGTACTCTGTTTTGCCTAATACTTCACAACCAGATAGAATATGGTCAACTGTCTCTTCATGCTGTGAACACATTCTGCATTTGCTCTCCACTTGCTGGCCACATATTACTTTTTGGTAGTTTCTGGTGTATATTACCTGGTCTTGAGCTGCTACTAGTAGCCCCTCTGTTTCCCCTTTCAGATTATTCGATAACCATTTGTTGGTGGTAATTGTATCTACATGAGGCTTCTCTAGGATCTTTGAATACTGTTATTATTATTATTATTATTATTATTATTATTATTATTATTATTATTATTANTCTAGTAATTTTGGTGCCTAAGCTTAACTGAGTGGCTTTGTTTGAGGGTCAAACTAGACACTAGGCAGTCGTTTCGCAAATGTGCTACATGGTGATGTAGATAAGTAATGGAAGAAGGCAGGTAAAGAGCAGTGTAGGAGAAAATAACTGTCTTTAGTCGGGTTTATTAAGTTGGAGACTTTTACATGCACATAAAAGCAGCTGAGGCAAAAAAAAAAGAGCCAAATATGAGCTTTTCAAGAAGGATAGGAATAACTATAAAATAAAATAGGAAATATCTGTCAAGAAAATGTTTAATACATTTAGTATCCAGTGCATAAGCTTGACAGCGGAGTAGTTTGGCAATTAAAACAAACAACATTGTGCTTCTAAGCTGTTCCTCAATGTTACGTAGGTGTTCACAAACCTTGTTGTAAAACTCTGACAAGTATGAAATACAAGCTTCAAAAGACAGCAAAGCCTGTGTTCTCTTCATGTATGTCAGAAAATGCATTGTAGATTAGCTGTAATACCTGTTTGTTCCACCAGGTGGTGTCTCTTACTGTTTAATACTGTAGAGACCCAAGGAGGTGATCAATCTGAATGCAGGTAGAAGAGAATAGGCTTCTGTGTTGCTTAATAACCTCCAGCCAGAGTTCATGTGTTTGAGACATGCTTGGATCAACTCGGACAGTGTTGCTGTATCAGAGACATGTGTAACAGAACCACCTTGACCACCCATGCAATGCATCCATTCATTAAAATAGAAATATATCAGCATAGGATAAATGTCTACTCTGTTCAGGTTATGTTCTCAAATAATCAAATATTTGTTCGACAATGCTGCAAAAATGTACAAAATTTGTATTCATACTTTACTGCCGCAAATTGTGCTCTCTACAACAGACAGCAGATGTAAGCAAAAGATCAGGCTTCGGTTTGTGCCAATAGCAATCAGTCTAAAAATACCTTGATGATTTTGATCTTTTAAATCAAATCTCTAGTGTTTAACACTAATTCGCAAATGCTAGCATGGTAAAATGCTAAAATTCAGATGCTGCACACGTTAAACATTATACCTACTACATATGAGCATGCTAACATTATTATGATTAGGCAGCTCTCCACCACAGGAACTTTGGGCAGTCGTGAGGTGGCGCTAGTGTTTAAAGAAATGGTCTGATTTTTGGCCTTTTCAGCCTTCCTGTTTCCATTGCACTCTAGGATCTCTAGCTTCAACCGCAATGTTAACTCAGAGTGCACCAAACACCAGCAAATAGAAGGCAGTGGATGTTCTATGAGCATGTAGGAAATAGGCCAACAAAGGTTTGATACATTATTCTATGTGGACAATTTTACATTGTTGATTGTGTATGAGAGGAGAAGGCTGCTACTCAATGAGGAGAGGGCAGAAAAATGATACTTGTTGACCTTTCCAAGTATAACCAATCAACTCTGAGTTCGGTATTAGGTTCTACATTGATGGTTCTTGTGGTCAGAGCATATTCAAGATTCAGGCTGCCCTGAAACAGCAACGGGCTGCAGTGGAAAACACTTACTGACAACCAGGAACACAGTTTGTCCTGTGTAGCTTCAGTGAAGCTGTTTGTTGGCTCTAATTTCACTAATTTGGTTGGGTTTTGTTATTTTTGAACAGAACCAGGCTAGCTGTATTAATGCTGGTAGAAACTTCATTTTGATCTGACAGATAACCGAGTGCTATCAGTATTCTCATGTAAGACTTGGCAAGGTTGCAAGGTGGGTCGGTGATCAGCACCATTGCCTCACAGAAAGAAGGTCGCCGGTTTGTGTCCCGGTGAGGACACCCGGGATCTTTCTGCGTGGAGTTTGCATGTTCTCCTCAGCGTGCAGGGTTTACAGCGTGCAGGGTTTACAGCGTGCAGGGTTTACAGCGTGCAGGGTTTACAGCGTGCAGCATGGGTTCTCTCCAGGTTCTCCAGCTTCCTCCCACAAGGTCCAAAAACACGTTGAGGTTAATTGGTGATTCTAAATTGTCCGTAGGTGTGAATGTGAGTGTGCTTGGTTGTCTGTCTCTAAGTGTAGCCCTGTGATAGACTGGTGACCTGTCCAGGGTGTCCCCTGCCTTCACCCTAAGTCAGCTGGGATAGACTCCAGCCCCCCCGCGACCCCAGTGAGGATTAAGCGGTGTATAGATAATGGATGGATGGATGGACTTGGCGAGGATAGCAGTTTCTTTAATTATTTCACCCTCTGCTTTGACTCACAGGTGTAAAGAGACTCAAATGGCACTGTATGCCGAGGTCCATCCGCCCACACTGTACGAGTCCATCGATCCAACAGAAGACTACATGAACAGCACCGACTCCATCATCAACACGACCACACCTGCAGAACTCCTGCAGAGCAGCACATTGGATCCTGAGCTTTTCCCCATCACTGCTGCTGCATCCACACTGCCCACACCTTCAACAAGTTCCCCCTCAGCCTCCGTCTCTACTATTACTAATGCTACCACCTCCACATCGTCAGGATCACTACCAGAGAGGGCAAACCACATAGAGAGCACCAAAACCCCAACGGTGACCAGGCAGGACATCACAGGTATTCCATATTTAACCCTTTCATATTTGTCCTCATTGTGGACTCATTTTTCACAGCAGTATAAATCCCTGCACGCCCATGGAAACAGCACAGCCATGGTTAGAAACAGAGAGAACTCAAATGTCTTCTGTACTGTATAACACAGTTAGAATGCCATAAGTCATTAAGAAAAGGGAAAAAAAACTAAAGATGTTCAAGGAGTGTCAGCAAGTTGAAAAGATGATCATTATTTCTGTGTTTATACTTTCTAACTCTGATAAATAGTGTAATTTTGATATTTTTTACAATAATAATAATAAGTAAGCCTGCCTGGGGTTCACAGGGTTTACACATTTCCTTAAATATTTTTTTCTGTGTTGCAGTAGTATAACTGAACATTTCCACTCATACTTCCTCTCCACAGAGATTGAAATGTCTTGTGGTATCTACAAGGATCTTGATAAATGCAAAGAAAAGATCTTACCTCTGCAAAGGAAGTACGGCCTCTATAATCCGGAACTGAGGACACTGTACCACTGCAACTGTACCACCAGGTAAATCAATGAACTGCAGCCAATAATAACAGTCATTCTGAGAATTCAGTTTAGTTTCATGCAATTGGAGGGATCTTTAGCGAGGTGCAGATGTGTCACACTACGTCTACATCACACACATTTGCTTAACCTCCATAGTCAATAGTTACAGTGCTATATGCAGATAACAGTGCACTCACCTTTGTTTCTGTGTAAACCAAATAGGCAGACATGGTGTGATGTGTTGTAACACAAAACCAGGCCACAAGCAGTGTGCAAATACGCTGAGAGCCACACTCTTATATAAGGTGTCTGTGAATGTACTCGGAAACGATTTTACGTCCTTGGACATTAACATAATCTCATGTTTGCACACAGTCTCTCTGTCTGGTCCTCTTTTCATTTCGCTGTGCATCTCCTCTGTTTTTGACTCGTCTTTGTTGACCAGTCTCTGACATTTCAGTGTTTGTCTGTCCTTCTAGATTATTCCAGACTTTGGCTAAACAGAGACAAGTGACCGAAGTGCAGGCTCTTCTGCTGGGACACGTGTCTCAGTCCTGCTTCCAGCCTCAGGACTGCACAGCAGGCAACATGTCAGTATACAAATACAGAGACAGACGTATTCAAATGACATGGCTGTAAATATATTTCAGTACAATTTGGTTTGTGGAGCAGAGGTGGAAGGAGTACTTGAGTAAATCTACCAGTGCAGCAATGTAAAATATTACAACACAATGAACTTCAAAAATTATTATTATTATTATTATTATTACTATATAATCTTATGGAACATGAACCAGGTATTATTTCATATTTGCCATGAATGCCTATGCCTAAAATGAGAAACCAGTTTTCATAAAAGTTTCATAAAATGGTTTGAATGTAATGGACATTTACAGCTTGTTTATTATAAGGTGTAACACTGAAGAGCCCCATCAAACATATTCCTTAGTCAGGATAAAAGACGTCACCAAGATTATTATTTATGAAGCAATACATGTATACAAGGTGGTTTTGACTGATATAAGCTAATACATACAGGCAAATGAATTAAAAAAAACAAACAAAAAAAATAACCGTTTCTGCTGTTTTGACAAAGGCTTTGTGTTGTTTAGTTCTTAATTTATCACCACATCGGCCATCTGTGGGATTTGTTGACAGGAACTCAGTATTAGCATCAGTGTAGGATTCTAGTAGAAATAAGAATAGAATTACAGTTAAGAACCTGCATTTTTACCAATTGTGTAAATTTACCTGACTAAATTGAATATTAAATAATCTACAATGTGATGCACGGAAACTCCAACAAATCCAAAAAGTCAGACGACAAGCTTTTCATTAACTGACTCACGGTGAAATAGTTATGGTTATTTTGTCAAAGTCTAAATGAAAACACAGAAAGCTAAAACTGAGGCAACATTTTATTTAATATCAACGTACTTATTTTTAATGTATCTGTTTAGTTTTGTCTCTGCAGCCTTATAGTTGCTTAGAAACTGCTCATATATCTTTTTATTTATTTCTGATGAATGCAGATTTGATATTGCTGCAAGACACTGTGAGATAAAAGAGAGATAACGGCGCTAAACAAGGCGGAACTAACAGTAACGCGGTGTTTCTACCGGAACTTCACAGTGTGACACCGGGCGGAAGAACACGTCAGCTGTGTCCGAGTTTAAGCTGCTTCCTCCAGGGTTTAGGGTCAGGTGAGGTTGCCTTCAGCGGTGCGACGAAGCCTCCTTCAAATGCGTCCTTCATTTCCCAGGATTCATTGCACAACTGTGACGGTTGGATGTTTGAGAATATGGCGGACTCCGTAAGCGGAACTTCGGCGGGGGAAGGCTATACTTATAAATGTAAGTGTTGGGCATCAACCCGCTCCACTAGCTAACGATGCAAATGTTAAGGACCACAGGGACGTTACAAAGGATGAATCCCGGTAAAACAGTGCGTTAAATGACGTGACGTCAGTGACCTGAGCCGCTGCGCTTACTGCAGCTCGGTGGTGCAGTTTAACTGGAGTTCAGAGGAACTGGTGCAGCAGCCAGATCCAGATGTTCAGAGTTCAGAGTAACTGATGCAGCAGCCCGATCCAGATGTTCAGAGTTCAGATTAACTGGTGCAGCAGCCCGATCCAGATGTTCAGAATTCAGATTAACTGGTGCAGCAGCAGCATGATCCAGATGTTCAGATTGACGAGTGACACCATAAGCCTGATCCAGATGTTCAGGGTCCAGATTGACTAGTGACACCATTAGCCTGATCCAGATGTTCAGGGTTCAGATTAATTGGTGACACCATCATTGTGATCCAGATGTTCATAGTTCAGATTAACAAATGCAGCAGCAGCCCAATCCAGATGTTCAGAGTTCAGATTAACTGGTGACACCATGAGCCTGATACAAATGTTCAGAGTTCAGATTAATTTGTGCAGCAGCAGTTTAGTCCAGATGTTGAGGGTTTAGATTAACTGGTGCTGCTGCAGCAGCCCAATCCAGATGTTCAGAGTTCAGATTAACTGGTGCAGCAGCAGCCTGATCCAGATGTTTGGAAGCTTTTCATGACCACTTGCCACCTAACCAGGATATACAGAATGGGATTACATCATCTATAAAATGAGATCTAAAAAACAATGTGTGATGATTTTGGTATCTGCAACTGAGAAATGTATTTATTCGACCTTTATTTTACCAGGTAAAAATGCTTGAGAACCAGTTCGCATTTGCAAACATAACCTGGCCAAGAGGTGCCAGCAGGAACAAATACACATGTACCAGACACAAATAGACTCATAAACATAACATGGAACAAAAGTAAACAAGTAAGAAGCATGTGAGCATATGCAGGTAAGTGAGAAAAGATGTGCATGAGGTGTAAGAAAGTGTGTGTGTGTGTGTGTGTGTGTGTGTGTGTGTGTGTGTGTGTGTATATAAGTAAAGTCTGGCATGATCAGCAGGAGCAACAGGCAGGGGGGCCGTGTAGAAATCCAGCAAATGGAGGAATAAAATAGACAGGAGACCAGCACACAGGTTTTACTCTGTTCCAACTTAACACTACTGTACAGTGTAGCAATTTCATAATACATGAACATATAAAATATGTGAATACCAATTACTTTGAAATTAGGGCATTAATGTAATGACATGTAATGGCACTTTAGAGAACACTGTAGCTATTCTGTCTCACTGAAACCCACCGGTATCAAACAGTAACATAGCAAACAAATGGCCAGCTCAGATTTATAGAAATATTGAAGCTTAAAGATATTAAATTAGAAAAAAAAAACAAAAAAAACTGTACAGATTCATGTTCAAATATGTAATGTATCTTTTGTGTCTGATTTTGCAATTGTCTGCACCTGTGTTGGATATTACTTGTGCAATCTTACTGTATGTTTTATATTTTTCATTA